CTCAGAGGGCTTTTCCAATGCAGTTGATTCTGTGATTCTGTGATTCTATGATTTGACTCACCAGGGACACTGATGGGACCTAAACATAAATTGTCCAGCTTTTGCAGAGCCTCTCCTTGCCACCAGTTCTATTGGCTGTCTCAAATGGGAAGCTCCATGGAGTGGAGATCTCCCTTTGCATGTGCACAGGTAGGGTTTGCACATAGGGGCTCAGCCCAGCTTAGAACCAGTTCCCCAGGACTCTCAATCCTACCAAAGTCAAGAAAAATCAGTTTTGTTTGAGGTCTTCATATCTGTGTCCTCATGTAATGTCTACAGAGTTGTCACTAACTCCTGGACATCTTGGCTCTGGTGGGTTTGTGAGAAGGGACAACAGAATGATTTATCTGGGGGATGACCCTTTATCTTTCCTGTGTGCCAGAAGCCTTTTTGGCCTGCTGAGTGAAACCCCAGGATCAGTTGGAAAAGGTCGGAAAAGCCCTCCCAGCCCATGGATCCCCCCTGTGCCCCATCCCCACCTTGTCCCCCAGCCCAGAGCACTGAGTGCCACGGCCAGGCCTTCCTGGGACACCTCCAGGGCTGGGCACTCCAAACCTCCCTGCCAAATTCTGTCAATAGGACAGTCAAATTCTGCTCCAATTTTTCTGACATCCCTGGAATTACATTCATTCCCTTCAAATCTTGCCCTGGTGTGCCCAGATGACACAAGCAGAGCAGATAAAGGCCCCTTTGGGAAGGATCCCCATTGTGACTCAGCTGAGTGGAAGGTGTCACTCCCTAGAGCTGGCAGCTCTGCACAATTAAAATAACAACAGTGATGATAATAATTAGGAAAAAATCTTTCCAGAAGACAAGTTCTTCTCTCAGACAAGGCAGAAGAGGAGCCATGTGCTGGAGGAAACCCTCCTGAGGGGAAGCAGAGGGAAAACCAAGCTCTTGGCTCTCACCACTCCAAGCTCTGAGAGCTCACCAGCCACACATCAACCCACCAAAGAACTTCTTTAAATTCCTTAGAAAAGCTCTTTTTGTTTGCTGAACGCTTCCTTTTTGAGTTTGCCCTCCATTTTTTAATGAATGATTGATGGGAACACATTTCCTTTCCCTGGACACCAGCACCTTGAGATTTAAACAGCAGGAGCTCTGGAGTAGCCAAGGTCAAAGGTGGCATCTGAAGACCTGCCAGACTTTAAATGATGCTTCCACACCTCATTCCTGAGAAAGAAATCAAATTTCCTACCTGGACACATCAGATGAGGGCTTGTTCTGCCCTGGCAAAAAGCAGAATAATGTCACTTAACGTCAAGATATTTCAAATATGTCCCAGATCGGGTCTTTTTCTTTGGAGGCACTGGGTCTTTGGATGGGAGGGCCTGAAAAACTCCTCCAATTTGCTCTTTGCCAGAAACTGAAAAGGGGTGTCTTCATTTTAAAGGAAGAGTGTGTTAACAAAGAACAGGAGGATTTTTGCATTTTTTTTTTTTTTTTTTGACTTTCCCTCTGGAAGGTTTCCTGTATTTTCAACTGTTTCTGGGATGCAATTAACACTTAGACCCAGCAAATAATTTACTTTTGGTGTGCATCCTCCCCGTGAGTCTTTCAAAGCAGGCTCTATACGATGACAAAACAGGCTGGAGCACGTTCAAGTGGCTCTCTCTGATCTCAGAAGAAGCCCTGAGCATTCAAACCAGAGCAAGATGTGCAGCCAAAGGAGGGATTTTTTTGCAAAAGCTGTATGCAAATTGGAATTTTATGGCTCTCCTTGGTTCTAAGAAAACCCCTGCTGCTGCACACACACAGATTGGGCCAATATGTGTGGGTTTGAGGCAGCACATGGGCACTTGGGATGGTGGGACCAGGGGGTGGCTTTCACTTCCAGGTTTTCTCTGGTGGCTTGTAGAGCTCTGCAGCACAGTCTGATGGAGATGTAACACCACAGTCCAGTGCAATACTTAAAATGTCAACCCCACCCATCCTGCAGTCAGTGTGTGCACCCATAACCTGCTGTGCTCTGGCCTGAATTTAAAAGGAGGGAGGGAAACAGGGCTGGAATATCTGGGGCATTCATTACTTGGCAGAAAGGAGAATTTTTCAGCAATCCAAACCTTTTTTTATAGCTCCATCCACCTTCAAAGTGCTGCTTTCTCCTCTTTTTTCCTTCCTTTTTGACAGTGGTATGTTGAGCCCCAAACCCAGGAGGAACCTGGGCTAGTGGAAGGTGCCCCAGAGGGGTTGGAACTGGATGATCTTTAAGGTCCTTTCCAATCCAAGCCAGTCTGTGATTCAGGTTGGACAGGAGGAAGAATTCCTTGCTGGAAAGGGTGGTGAGGCCTTGTCAGGGGCTGCCCAGGGAGGTTTGGAGTGCCCAGCCCTGGAGGTGTCCCAGGAAGGCCTGGTCGTGGCACTCAGT